GTCACCCACTACCACCTCTACCATATTGACTGTACACCCTCCCATGAGCTGTGCTTCCCACCCTTTGTCTCCCACCAAGTCCAGCTCCCGTTGAATGTGCTACATCCCCCACACTGGCTAATTATCCTAGAAGAAATATTTTTATGCCTTCCATGCCTTCCCCTTCTCCAGCCTCTCTAGGACCCTGTTTTTACAAAAGTCCAATCTATCCACAAGGGGATGTTTGTCAAAACAGCTTGTGAGGCTGAGCTGGTGTTGCCCAAGTATTCAGTATCAGCCAGGAAGAATAAGTTGAAAGCTATGAACTTCCAGAAGTAAATTTGCCTTATGCTTAATTTAGAAGAGAAATGCAAACTAAAGCCACAATAAGTATCACTTCACACTTACTAGGATACCTGTAATCACAAAAAAGGAAAATCACAAATGTCAGTGAGGATGTTAAGAAATCAGAACTCTCATACTTTCTTTGTGGAATGAAGATTGTGCAGCCACCATGGAGGCTCCTCAGAGGTTAAACATAGAGTTACTGTAAGAACCAACAGTTTCACTCAGGTATATTCCCAAAGGAAATTAAAATAAAGAGATGTTAACGCAAGGAGCTGGACATGAATATTCAGTAAAAGCATTATTCACAATAACCAAAAAGTGAAAATAACTCAGCTGGTGAGTGGATAAATCAAATATATCTATATGATGGAGTAGTATTCAGAAATAAAAAGGGATGAAACATTGAGAATTGTTCCAATATGACCTTAGATAAATGTTGAAAACATATTAGGTGAAAGACATCAGTCATGAAAGGCCATATATCGTGGAATCCATTTATATGAAGTGTCCAGAATAGAGAACTCTAATGAGAGAAAAAGTGGCTGCCAGGGACTGAAGAGTGTATGGGATAGGAAGGATCATGGCTAAGGGTGTGGAGTTTCTGTTTGACATAATGAAAATGTTCCAAAATTGGTCGTGATGGTTGTACAACTATGTGAATATGCTGGTTGAATTGTCCTCTAAATATATGTATATATAAAGTAGACAGCAAGCCACGTGCAAATATCTTATGTTAAATTGCATTTATCATTTTTTTAAAGTTTTTTTTAAGATTTATTTATTTATGCATACAGAACTGGGGTACAAGCCAGAGGTGCAGGGGAGGTGAGAGGATTCAGCAGAGACAGAGCGGAGGCAGAACAGGCAGATAGACGAAGTACACTGCTGAGGGGAGCAGCAGGCAGGTCAGGAGAGGTCTGCCACGCCATGTGGATCACCTCCAGGATGGGGGATCGAACTTGCACTGTAGCAGCTGTGCCAGCTTGTAGTGCTGCATGCTAACCCGATGTACCACCAGGGATAACCTGCATTCATCATTCTTAAAGAAATCTAAAATCTAAAATATTGTAATCAAAAATAAAACTTAGTATGCAGCAAGAGGATCTAGCCTTTACATGTTTATAGATGTATAGATATATCACACAAAATTTCTTTGCTCACGTTTATGAATTTTGAAACCTTGCCATAAAGTTTTATTTTTATATGTACATATTTTTCTCTCCATGTCTCATCCTAGATTATTTGAGAACATAGCCACTATGTCAAGAAAATTCAGATTCTTCCTTGTTCTCTTTCCTCAAACATAGTCTTGTATTGTCAAAAGGATTAAACAAATTTTGAAACCTCCACACTAAGGATTAATTGTCTCCACAGTCGAAACTCAGAAGATAGTTTGCAGTCTTCTATTTCATACTGATTGTTTTAAGATTGCCAGGTGAATCTTAGAATAATTAAATTTAGATGCTAGGTTCAGTTCTGTCCCTAGAAATATCTCCATGACAACCAAAAGGAACTCCCAATTTTTTGCAAACATTGCTTCAGGGTTATTTTGAGAGGTAAAGTGGTTATTCAATTCCAGTAATGAGAGAAAATGAAGAATTAACAATAGAAAAGCATTCTTGACATTTTATAGCAGTAAGTATCCCAGCAGAGAAAAGGCTAATGATCAACTAAAAAGGTATTTGCATCTGTGATATGACCTCTGCTCAGATTTCCAAAGGACATCTCACTTTTTCACAGAGCCTTCCTGTCTTCTCTGGTGTATCCCATTTTCTCCACCACGCTCTCATCTTAGTTCATAATCAAAGGTAGAACTTACTAGCTGGGCTGGTAACATTTGTTCTGTGCCATCAAAAACCATTTAGATGTGGAGCTTTTCTCCTTAGACATACTTAACTTGTGCAGCCAAGATTACAGAAACAAGGAAGACTTGGCAAGGCAAATAAATTGTGAAATTTGTCTTAATGGTTTGACTCATGAGTGGCTCTTGGGAGTTCACAGTAGAAGCTTTTTATTGGTATTGACTCTGGTCCTCCAAGAGTGTAGCAGTTGAGTATTTAAGGAGAGGTCAAGCACATGAATTCTGGCATTAGATAAAACACTTTGTAAATCTGACTGGTACTTTCTGGCTAAAATTCTTTCTCTTGTTTTCTTTATGGAAAATAATAGTACCTACCTTAAAGGAATATTGTGTAGAGTAAATAAAGAAACAATCACTTAAAGCACTTAAGCTCAATATCTGACTTGCTTACTTGTTATGAAAGACCATTTATAAGATGTTTTCCAGACCAAAAAAAAAAACTTAACAAGGGATGAGCCAAATCAATTTATCCAAGTTTCAGAGGTGCAAAAAGCTTCTTTATGAAAAGAGTGAGAACAGTTAGTCTTTCCTGGGAAGTGAACTTTTGGCTCCAGGTATTTGCTAAAGTCCAAGAAGACACCTAAGTAATTAAGGGATTGTTTATTATAGGTAGGGAAAATGATACTAAAGAGAGCAGGATGATAGAGGAAAGAGTATTAGGATATTTATTTAATGGGTCTGAATTGAATGGAAGCTACTGAAAATGCAGGAATGTTCATGGGGAGAAATAACCTTCAATGACAAGGAAAACACAAAATGGATTACAAAACAGAGTATTAAGAGAGGGGTTTGTTTGTTTTGGTTTTGAATTGTTTGAAGTTTGAAACAACAATCAGGGAAATTCAGGGGGGAAAGGAGGAGGTGGGTAAGAGATAAGAGAACAGAAGGTGGTGACCACCAGAAGTAAGTTAAGATTGAAACACTGACAACTGGAATCTGAATAATTTCAGGTAAAGATTTTAGAATTCTGAGTCCTAATATTCTTCTTGAAACCAACTCCCACAGGAAGAGATAGGATTGGTAATTGAACTTCTTTTTACTTTGTCTACAAAAGTCACAAACACTGACTTGGCCTAAATTTAGGAATAACAACAGTTTCCAGTCTTTTTCATGCTGATCAAATGACCTTTGACCTATCATTAATCTTCTGTGCAAATATAGTCACCCCTGCTTAATGGAGATACTTTGAAAAGTGTTCAGTTTGCAATAGAACAAATATTAGGATAGAAATGTCATGGTGTTTAACTTTTATGGCACTATGTGAGTTTAGTTACTTTTTCTATCAACTATTATTCTCTGGGAGCAAATTAGGCACTTTAGGAATCTTCCCAAATTGCTTCAATCAACTTGTCTCCTTTATTCTGCTAAAGAAGAGATTTACTACTGATTCCCCAGAATATTCATATGCTGTAAATGAATTTTGAAGAGTACCAAGCAATTAAATGACTTCTGTAATGTTCATTCCCATTTCACAGATGACAAAGCTATAGTAGAGGGAATGGTTCTTTAATTCCAATTTCACAGGAACCCTTGTTCATTTTGTGAGTTCATACCTATGACAGATAAATGTGCTCTGAAAGCAAATGTATATGGGTCTTTGGAGTGTCATACAATTTCACAAAATCAATTTCAAACCCAGAGCTGTGTTCAGCCTCCTGTATACCCTTATGTATATGTTATGTATATGGGATCTAATATCCTGCTTAAGAAACAAAGTCTCTCTGAATGCTCTTAAACTCTGCTAAAAATCTGATTATTCATCTCAAATAATCATCCTGATTTTATCCCTGGATTTCTTTATTTCTGAGTTCTAGCAACCCATAGGCAGATGAAAAATATATAACTGGGAAACATACCAAATTAGAAATAACTCAAAACAAGCAGTCATCAAATCTCTTCCCCAAGGCATTGTTAAAACCATCAGGCCTCATTATACAGTTCTGTATAGTATCTTACAAAATATTATTAACATTCTAGTTATAATCCAAGTGATAATATATGGAGGAACAATGGTTCATAAAAATTATAACACATCATTTCAGAATAGCTAAGGACCTTTCTTAACCTCAAAAGATCTATTAATATGACTTAAGAGTTGTCTCAGTGTGCTAGCTGACTGACTGGAAGATCATCCCTGGAAACCATTAAAAGATCAGGGGCGACAAAAGTAGATGACTGGATTAGAAAGATGTGGTACATATATACAATGGAATATTACTCAGCAACCAAAAAAGAGAAACACATGTCTTTTGCAGCAACTTGGATGGAGCTGGAAAAGATCATGCTTAGTGAGATAAGCCAGAAAGAGAAAGAAAAATACCGGATGGTTTCACTCATAGCAGGAGTATAATGGACCAGGCGAAAAAATAACAAAAATAATGAACAACCATATACCAGAGACATTCTGTGGGGGTGGAGTGGGGAATGGGATCAAAAATGGGGCGGGGGGGAGGAAGGGAGGGAAATGCACGGGACTATGGTGGTGGCACAGGGGTGATTTGGTGATCGGAAACCCACGGGAATTACAATCGAGATGGAAAAAAAAAATGTGCAAAATGATGTAAAAATAAACTTTGTAATAAATTAAAAATAAATAAATAAAATAAAGATTGGCGAAAGCTTGTCTGTATGAATTGTCTGCAAGAAGGAGATTACATAATATCAGATTAATTTATAGTGAGATAAACTGTTGGACCTTTATTTCAAACACCATGAGCTCTCATGATCTGTTATTACTATTATTATCCTCATTTTCCGCTTATATGTAAACTGAGCTTGTTGGAATAAAGGTGCTTTCTGTTTTGTTTCTCAGGTTGTAGTTTCTCGGTCAAGATCAACCCCCCATGTGAATTTTCACCTGGATTCCCACCCTGTGTCCCCAGAAGTGATTGTGGAACACCCACTAAACCAAGATGGCTACACACTGGTTATCACTGGGAAAAAGGTAGGGGCCCTGACCCATTGAGACAATTCTTCCTAAAGGAATAGTTATAGCCACTGTCTTGCTTTTAATTTCTTTTTTCATGTTGAATTCACTTCCCCATCAAGTTCTTTCTTGAATATTCCAGAAATCTTCTGAAATCAAGCTAAATGTTTATGCAGGGATAACTGGGCCTAAGGGAAACCCTCTTCATAATGCGGAATTCTCATTTTGTCCTGTATTTCTTGAGAAAAGCAAACACACACAATGAGAATTACAGATCTCATGGCAGACTCTAGTGCAGACAGATAAATCCTGAAATGTACATTGGAATCTGAAACCAAAGAGTAATCCTTTTTCTCTAGAAGAAGGAGGTGCATCTTAATGCCAGATGATATGTAAACTTACTTAGAATTTCCCAGGGCTTCAAGTCTGTTTTCCAGCAGCTTAAATTATACTCTTATTACTTTAAAATCGTCACAGACAGAATAAACTGTCCCTACCAAAATGAACCTCTAACACTGCCTGATAATGTTTGTGTTCACTGAACCATAATATGAACCTTTACCACATATATGCCAGCAATGAGGTAGGAAACAATTTGATTTTTATTGTAATCACTTAATCATTGTTACATGACTTGCCCACATAGGTGCTATCTCTAGTAAACCCTGTAAAATGTATCTGGTATATTTAGTTTTTATAACCCTGTAAAATGTATCTGGTATATTTAGTTTTTATATAACGAATGAACACAAAACCCCATGGAAGCTCTTTCCATCACTTCTCTTCACAGATCACCAAGATCCCACTGAACGGCTTAGGCTGTGAACATTTCCAGTCCTGCAGTCAGTGTCTCTCCGCCCCACCCTTTGTTCAGTGTGGCTGGTGCCAAGATAAATGTGTAAAGCGGGAGGACTGTCCCAGCGGAGGATGGACTCAAGAGACTTGTCTGCCTGTAGTCTATAAGGTATCTGTCACGTATACTTTTTAGTAGACACAAATCCCATTAATGAAAAAAAATTGGTTTATTCATTTAGCTGAAAGGCATCAGCCAAGCACTGTCTCCCTCTAGGGTTTTTCTTTAGGGTGTTGTTTGGGCCCATCCCCTTGAGTATTACACCCAAGGTACTTGCTTCCTGCTCATTAATTATATTCTCCCCTTGGGCTATATAGCTTTCCTTTAGTTTAGCTAAAGTGGCTAATGAGCAACATAGTTCCAAATTTCCTTACATTGGAATCCTTCCCTTCCTGACTCACCCATTCTCTGATTCATTACAATTCACTTTATCTGCCAGACAGAAGCCTCTACCATAGAGCTCTTATTGTACAGGCAGGACAGAAGATTTCATCCCATCTGGCACTTGAATTGTGGCTTGTATCATCATCACTTTAAGCAGAAGTTACTTCCCTCAGTGGTGTGGCAGGCAAGTGAATGGTGAAAACCCATGGGTGACTGTGCTCTTTTTTCTTTTTTAAGATTCATTTAATTATGCATACAAGAGCTGGGGTGTGGGCCAAAAATGTGGGGGAAGGGTGAGAGGATTCACCAGAGACAGAGTGGGAGCAAAACAGGCAGACTGATGAAATAGACTACTGAGGGGAGCAGGAGCAGCTCCCTGGCCAAGGAATCAAACTTGTGCGACAGTGGCTGCCAGTAGATTCGTAGTGCTGAGATTTAACCGCTTGGGCCCCTAGGGAGGACCTGTACTCTTTTCAAAGTTCCTAGAAGAGAAATAAAACTACATCTGATGACTACACTAGTATCTCTGCTCTGTGAACACTTTTCATTCATTCATTCATTCACTCCAGAAATGTTCATGGAGAGCATACCAGACAGCAGGCACTCTCCTAGACTCCAGGGAGATGTAGTCCTGAACAAGATAGAAGTTCCTTCTGCTTTTAGAGCCCATAGTGTCCAGTGCTGCATTTCAGCCATGAGAGTGAATATAACCACATTCTGCAACTCTGTCATCTTATTTACTGAAGCATATATCTGATACTATGAAAATCTTGGCAGAGTTTTAAATATCTTGATCCTAATACATTTTACTTGAAAATACTTTCCTGAGGAGGATCCAGTATGTATTTTCCCCTGCCTGCACGTAAAACAGTTGGACTTTAGTAAGTGGTGCTGTGAAAGATTCAAGTTAAAGGTCTTGTTCTCCTGGTTGAAGCTCAAGTAAACAAAGTATTCAAGTCGGAACAGGAACTGACTCCAAGCACATGGCTGTTTTCATTTAGTTACGCTCTGGGGCAAGATTTGTATTGGGTGACTGGGTTTTAAACCAAATCATTTTCTGTTAGGTGTGACATTATTAAGACTTAACATTTACAGCCAGAGAACAAACTAAAAGAGGATTAGAAAACAAATTTAAATCTAGGCTGTAGTGTGTATGTACTTTTTTGGTTTAATATGCTTTCAAACCACATGCAATTTTATACTTTTTTAAACATGCAATTTTATACTTTTTTAAACATGCAGTCTTAGCAATTGGAGACACTAGAAATATGAACTCAGCTATTCCATGAAAGAGATAGGAGTATGTCAGTGTGTGTGTAATTAAATCACAACAATTTTGTATCAAAAACAGCCAAGCTACTATTTTAAATAAAGCAGGTTGAGAATCTGTATAAATTAAACACTAAATTTTGACCAGAGTTCTTTTCTTACAAGTTGTGAAAATTTTCACAATGCTTATAATGGAGTCAATGTTTTAGAATTTTCTAGACCCAGAAAATCCTTCTTATTGTTTGAATCTCCCTCCTCTCTTATCTTACCTAACTACCAGTACTATATTTGGCCATTTTAAAACGTAGTGTTGCATCCTGCCTGAGTAAGTGAGTCTCAGCCTGTATGGTTAGAAGGAAAGTAATACAGCTGAGTCCATAAATCCTTTTTGGTTCATAGTTGTTAGGAAGATTTCATGCTGTGCTACACCGTGACATTTAGCATTCTTACTGCAAAAAAAAAAAAAAAAATAAGATAGATTCTCCATCTTTTCCTTATCTTACACTCCAATGGCATAAAAGCCAGTTAATTTATGGAGTTGCGATTACCAATAAATATAAGTTATCCTGCTTTTCAAAGAACATGATGTTCAGTAACGGAAATTCTTTACCATTGTACATATAGAAAAAGACTTCAGGGTTTTTTCAAACATATTGTCTGATCTCCCACTTAAAGAGCAATGAGAAATGCTTGAAAAGGAGGAGCACTTTCCAATGTATTCTGAATTTATTTACATAAAATTGTCATATCTTACAGGATTGAATTCAATCCCAGTGAAACAATAAAACGATTTATTAATTGATCACAAGATACAGACAAGTAGCAACAGCAAGGAGAATTTGTGCAGCAACCTTTATTTTGTGACTTAATCTCTTCAGGCAGATTTTTTATTCTCCAGTGTTTGTTGTTATTTTTTCCTACATACCCCTCACCTGCTTTCCTCTATTGTTCACATTTTACATTACTAAGATACATCACAAATTTTCATTGTCCAAGGTTTTTTGTTAGTATTGTTTAGCCTTCTATTGTTATGAGCTTTAGAAAATGAGCATTTAAGTCATGTTCACCTGCAAAAAGATGCTACTGTTTGGGCAACTGTTTCTCCCTGCTCCAGCAAGTGGAAGACCCAGCCTCCATGGCTGTGGCCCGAACATTCACTTCCTTCCCACAGGGTTTCTCTGCCCTTCAGGATAACTCAGGCTCTGCCAGCCCATTGTTGGGTCTATCCAAGGGTGTGTAGTCCAAGACTTCCTTTTCTTCCTTTTCCCCTGGAAGAGTGAGCGTTACCCCATAAGCTAAGGGAAAATGTTTAGCTGTGCCACCACTCACCCTACCCCTTGTACTTCAGCCCAAAGAAAAAAGCTTAGTAAAGCTAACTTTTCAAATCCTGACAGCCCAGCGAGGTTTTATAATAGCACTTCTATTCTCCGTGTATCAATTGAACAACTCTGGGCATCTTCTCTCCGATCATCCCCAGTCTGTTTGCCTTCTATAGAAAGAGGTTGTGTGTAGAATGACAGACTTCAGTCTTCATGTAGAAAACAGGGCAGGTGTCTATGAGGATCTCAGCAGCAGATCATACAGACATCAGCCTTGGCCAGCTGTTTTCAATGGGGAAACCTCATTAAAAGGGAACAGCAGCTGTGTGACTGCCTCCGGCTGCAGAGAGCACACGGGGCTGATGTCTTGTTCTCTCCTACTGGATTTCTAACATAATAATAAACAGGTATTTTTTTGCCTCGCAGTTTCCATTTGACTAGACTTGGATGAGGTAAGTTTTCATGAAAGGCACAACTGTGTAATGGATTTTATGGGTAAAATAACTGTCATAAAAAAGCTTAAGCTAAGACTTTAAAGGCGGCTGGTAACAAGGGTAAGTGAAAGCATTAGTTTGCGATTATTTACTTGGCTGGAGTGGGAATGTTTACAAATCTGAATTTTGCTGAAAGTCCTTCTAAATTCCTTTTAGACTTTCACTAACTGGCATTGGGCAAACACCTTTACTAGTTTTTGAGTTGCCTTTATAGTGCAGTGATTTCCCACCATTGTACTTTACAGCACAATTTACAATATATCCCCCCAAAAGACCATTTCCTTTCTCAATTGTCACAAAGCCACTAAAGAGAAGCTTATTTTTAACTTGAAAATTTGTTTTAAGAATTTTAGCTGAAGAGCAGTTGTCTTCTCAAGAGCCCAATGCTATCTTACATCATGTTTGCCAGTTTCATTAATAAATTCAGGTTTTATTTTTAATACACCAAAAGTGAGTCTCCAGCAACAATGAAATGAAATAATTATTTATTTAACATTGAACATGGGAGGTGGGAAATGAACCCTGGAAATAAGATATAAAATAATGTCAAGGGAGATCATTAGAAACATTACTAGCACACAGATCACATTTAGGGTTCTTTCCAGTTATATTTTCATCTACTTAGAATAGAATAATATATTGAATGTATTAAACATTATGTCATTTTAAAAAAGCCATGTGTGTCAACTAACCAGCTGGCAGATACCAAGTGATAACCATAATTAAAGAAAAGTCACAAATCAGTAATGTGAATTGATAAGAATAAAGAATTAGACCCACTTATTTATTTGCGGGTACCTACTACATAGTTGATGATTTGCAAATAAAAAAAGAAAGAAAGAATGAATGAATGAATGAATGGGTGGTAGATTGGTACCATCTATATATTTGGCTTTGTGCTACTGAGTGCAACTGTGAAAACACTGGATACAGAAAGAGGTATTTTTACTATGTGTTTCTTCTCTGGGTAGGGAATACCATAGCAACTAGAATGGAGAACACACCCAGCTGGTGCTTAAAGCAAGGCGGATCTTGGCACTTGGTTTATAGGCCCGTGCAGGATTTTTGATCAGTTTGATCTGGAGCCCATGAGAGAGTTATAAGCATGTAAAAGTTTGGGCTCAGAGTTTGTCTACCGCAGCCCAGAAGATTGCTAGAAAACAAACTAGCTCAGAGTGTCCCAGATTGAACCTGGACTATTCCATATCTACACTTTCTGAGAACCACTTGTTTCATCAGATATTTGTTCCATATTCTCTAAAAGTGGTTACTCTTCTTCCTTCAATTTTTCTTTAATGAGAGAATCAAATTTCAGATGATATGGGGGACACACATTTTGTTTGTTTTCCTTAAGTATGAAAGATAATTGTATTTTGGGGTTGTTATTAAAATTCTATGTTATTCTTGTAGGTTTTTCCAACTAGTGCACCTCTTGAAGGAGGAACAACACTGACCATATGTGGCTGGGACTTTGGATTCAGGAAGAATAATAAATTTGATTTAAAGAAAACCAGGATTCTCCTTGGAAATGAAAGCTGTACCTTGACCTTAAGTGAGAGCACCGCAAATAGGTAAAATACTTTGCTCAGCTTTGTTGGAAAACATATTTTGTTTTTAAATAAATATTTGTGAAAATTGTCCAGAAGTTTTGGATTAAACAGGGTCTTGGCTCATCACATCTTTTGTGGATTTGTTTTGCTTTCAGTCCCATTTACCTACCAGGATTAAGAAGCCAGAAAGGTGACATTGCCAAGCCAGAAAGATAATCCATTATCTGCAAGTTCTCATCCACTTTTGTAACAACTCTCTGGAAATTGGGTAAATTTGAAGGAGCAGCACTGATTTGGGTCACTTCGTTTTTAAAGTCTCCAATTACAGAGAGTTCCCAAAGATGTTTTCCTATAAAAACCAGGAAACAGTGCAATATAAACTTTCTTCTCTAAATTTACTTTCTAAGCCTCATAAAAGTAGTGAAGAGGTTGAATCATATTTTTGACACTCATTTTTGTGGGCAAGAATTTAAATTTACATTAAGCTGACTTTTTTTTTTTGTCACTGTAATAAGCAATATTCCTTATTTAGCTATTCCCAAATGCTAGGAAGTAGCATTACCATTGTTTCTTTATAAAGGTAGCACTGAAGTTCTATCCACTGAGGTGTATAGCTCAGCAGAGATAATCCAGACACTATCAGCTGAATAGACATTCAAATTCAGCTCTCGTGTATCAAGATCTGTGCTGGTTAAAATATATGACACAGGGCCCTCCCTGGTGGCGCACCAGGTTAAAGCACAACAATAAGAAACTAAAGCCACTTCAACATGAGTTTGACCCCCCCCCCCAGGGTGATCCGTATGGCATGGCAGACCTCCCCTGATCCACCTGCTGCTCCCCTCAGGAGTGTACTTCCTCAGTTGGCCTGTTCTTTTCCCCACTTTGTCTCTGGCGAATTCTCTCACCACCCTTGCACCTCTGGCCTGTACTCCAGTTCTATATGCATGAATAAATAAATCTTTAAAAATATATATATGACATATGTACCTACTTTAAGACTTGAATCCTAAGATAAATAAAATCCATTAGATATAATTATTGTATAATTCAAATAGATAGATTATTGGTTATCATACAGTAACAATACCCTAACATTTAAGTTTTATGATTGAGCATATTCTGTCAGGGAAAGAATTACTTGCTATGTGACACAAAGGTCTTAAATCTATTTATTTTACTGAGACCAATACATCAATTATTGTCATACTTGGTTAGCTTAATGACAAAACAACTTCATTCCAGAAGTCTCCCATGTAAGTTGTTACTCATTGCATTACAAACTAGACCCAGTAAAACATAATACATTCTCTTCTTGTAAAAGGTCTTTAATAAAGCAAACTATTCTGGGATTATAATAAAGTTACTAATAAAAAATAATTCTGTGAAAAGCTTATCACAATTTTATATTTTTTAGGTAATTTAAGTAAACACTGACAAGTGTAACCCCAGAAATGTACCTGTTGACCTACATTAATGAAGAGACTTGGCCAATTTGTCATTTGCCCCATCGTTTCAGATACTGCTAACATACCATTTCTTTATTTTACATGCCAAACTCTATATGTACAATTTTATAGGATTAGACTTTGATTATTATGAACTTTTAATTGGTGAGGTCTATGTTGATAAGGCATTGATAAGGAAATGACATTTCCTTTTTGTCTCTATTAAGTACTGTAATGCAGTCAACATAAAGTTTAACTAATAGTACAGAGTTAGAATTATTTAATTTTCAGTCTTAGTGCTTACCACAAAACACTTTACTTTTCAGAGAGTCAGCTCACTATTTAAGGTAAGGTCTCTTCGCTTAAAAAGCCATAGCTTTCATATAAAATGCTTTTATATTTGTAACATGGTGAACTTTGATGTTTTCAGGTTGAAGTGCACTGTTGGTCCTGCAGTGAGCGAGCATTTCAATATGTCCATAAGTATTTCAAATAGTAAATGGAGAGCAAACTATAGTACATTTTCCTATGTGGTAAGTCTGAGCATTAATTTTCTCATGAACCAGGGTATTTGTTACTTAATCAATTTAGAATTATAAAGTTAAGTTGCTTTGTTTTGTTTTTATCTCTCATTCAGGATCCTAAAATAACAAGTATTTCTCCAACTTATGGTCCTAAGACTGGTGGTACTTTACTTACTATAACTGGAAAGTTCCTAAACAGTGGAAATTCTAGACACATTTCAATTGGTGAAAAGACATGCACTTTGAAAAGGTGTTGTGAATTTATTTTTATTGCATCAGCTACATTGGATTAATAGCTATATCTAACAAATTGGGGGATTAATCTTTTTATTTACGGGGAAAATTTTATTTGTTTATGATTTACTTTCCAGATGACAAAATTTCCTCTTTCCCAAATGCATCTGTTCCTTTTTGCTTATCTTTCTACCTTTCCCTTATTGTTTATTAATCCCACTTTTAAGTTATGTTTTTCCAACTACCTTATCTACTATTATGTCTTGATATCCCCACTATGCTATGATCTGTGTGATTATGGTAATCAACAATAAATTAAAATAAGCATTTAATTAAATTTATGTAAAAATATTTACAACTAAACAATCATTTTGGAGAGAAAAGAAGGGAGAGATTGACTTTGGAGGGAAGTAAGACTTCAGCTTTGTAGAGTAACTTGGTATATTCAAGTACTAAGTACTTGATAATATAGTACTAAGAGTACTATAAAAAGTGCTTAGATTCCCAAATGTTTTGAAGTCAAATCTGACTTACTTACAGTGAGGCTAAGTTTGGGATCCAGTCAAATGTAATCAGTATGTATTAGAATGAATTTTTTTCTAGACAACATCAAGAAATTCCCACTTAGGAGCCATCGGTGATGTCCTTTTGATTTATAAATAGAATTCTTAACTATGTGTATCTCTAATAGCTAAAGTCCATTCTCTTAATTTTTTGTTCAGTGTGTCAGATAATGTTCTTGAGTGTTATACCCCAGCCCAAACTACTTCAACTGAGTTTCCTGTTAAATTGAAAATTGACTTAGCCAACAGAGAGACCAACAGCTTCAGTTACCGAGAAGACCCTGTTGTCTATGAAATTCATCCAACTAGATCTTTTATTAGGTAAGTATACATTTCAAATAATATCATGAAGACGATTGGTTGACAAGTAGTGAAGAGAAATTAGAGTTTTATCTCTGGTTTTGATGTTGTTGCCTTTCTTTTCGAAGACTGCCTCTCCAATGCAGGAGTGAGAATTGCATTCAGGTTCTGAGTACAATTTTACCTTTATCAATGCCAGTTCATGCCAAGAAGCAATTTATCCTAACCTACTGCATTTTAAATAGACTTCAGTTTATCAATTTAATGTGGCACCCTAGTGTTTAACGCACATATTAATTATTGACATGTCAATTTTATACTAACCGTAGGGTCCCACAGTGAAATCATCTTTTTTCCCCATTATTCTTTAGCATATTTTTTCTATACATGAAGCTATTCACAACTACAGAAACCTGTGAATCAGCATCTCTGGGCCCAGTTCAATTTGCCTTTTTCTGTTAATTGTATCAGTCTAGCAATAGTAATTAAGTTCATTTTTCTTTGTCTTTTTTTTTCAGAGAAGCAAAAATATTTCTTTTGCATATTTGATGAATGAAAAACATTTTTATTCATTTCTTTGGCTTATAAAATATAAGTTAATTTTCTCCAGTGAAATAAGTTGTTTCTAAAAGTTATCACTGAACATGAATTGGACTTTGGCTATAACTTGCAATCACTAGACCTGATTTAATTGTACTTCCTTTGTAAAATACTGGGTCGGGAAAGAGCCGCTCAATATTGAATTTTTTTCTATTTTATTTTACCAGTGGTGGGAGCACAATAACAGGTGTTGGAAAAAACCTAAATTCAGTTAGTGTCTTGAGGATGGTGATAAGTGTGTTTGAAGCAGAAAAGAACTTTACAGTGGTAAGTCCTTTGATGGTTGTACTTAAAGTTCTTTATCTGCCTCTATCTCTGGCTTACAGATTTTTCCTATACAGGTTGCTTGTTACCTTCCTTGAAGCATAGGTTAAATAGAACTTTTTTATTCAGAAATGAAGTATCTAGACTTGGGGTAACATTGTAAACACACACACAAGTACATACATGTGTACACAGACACAAATAATAACCACTAACCTGAGGTGGTGTATCTGTGGTCAATATAAATGCAAGCCATATCATTTCCTATCTTAATTCAGGCTGCTATAACAACAAAAACAAAATAAAACATAGAATAGGTGATTTAAACAGTAAATATTTATTTCTTATACCCCCAGAATCTGAGAAGTCCCAGATCTCTTTGCTGTCAGACCCAGGTGTCGGATGAGGTCACTCTTCCTAGTTTGTACACAGCCATTTTGTTATGGTCTCACATGACTGAGAGATACCAGGGAAAGAAGCTCACTTGTGTCTCTTCTTATAAGGAAACTAATCCCATTGTGAGAACACTACCCTCGTGACTTAAATTACCTCCTAAAGCCTCCACCTTCACATTTAGATTAGGGTTCCAACATGTGAATTTGGGAGAGAAGCATTTGTTCCATAGCATTTCACTGTCTGCCTTTTTTTTTAATGTATTATAAACTGTCTACCCTTTTGCTGTAATAAAACCCTTGGATAAAGCTTCTAACCTTGCAATAGCATCCTTGTCTGAGTGGTTATTCCACAGTGTTTTCTAACTGTTCTTATTCCTTTGTTAACATGTTATCAAATAATAAAAAAGTATATTAGAATAGTTATTTTTGTTGTTTGCACCTTTCCTTCTTTTGTTTGCATTGTCAATCATTTATAACCAATGCCTCCTTAAAAGCGATTGACCTATTATGTGCTCTTATTATGTAGGTCACACTAAAACAGTGGTTTTAATTTAGACCTTAGGAAGGTTGGAATTATTTGTAAATATTACATATTTTTGTTGATGTTTTCTCTAATATACCATAATCTAGTTGGACTTGTGACTAAATTTAGGATGAAAGTTCTAAGTGTCCCTCGCAAGCAGGGTCTTGATTGGGCATGTGATAGATTGAATTACAGCACTTTCTTTTAGATACCCCATCCAATATTTCTTGAAGACTAAAGCCACAGTGTTCTTTAATTACAAAAACCAATTTAAGGCTAAAAATGTCAAGCCAGATCACCAAACAATAAGGTCATTTCAAATGAGATTTTTCTTGACCTTCTAAATCAGCCACATTGCATCACCTCTGAAGAGTATTATTAGATTTTTATCATATTCCTGAGAAATTGTACTCCAGGGAGTTATGGTATGAAGTAGAAAGCTTTGAAATCATCCCCACACACATGGCCACAAATAAAGTTAGGATACCACTGCTATTAATTTAAAGGACATCAGTTGTCCACAACCAACTCTAACAATTTTTCATTAACCAAATAGAATAATAATAACCCTCTTTGGTGTTGGCATATGACTTGTTAAAGTAGAAATCTTAAAATAATATTACTTTATCTAGTTTGACCCAAGCCTATATTATTACTACAATAATGGCTAAAGGTACTTTTTTCACTCTCACTAGCACTATAATGACATATAAAACTCTGTTGACTTTATCCATTGATTTAAATCAAATATTTATTAAAATTTTCCAGGCATGAGACATAAAAGCACTTATCCCAAGGAAGATTCAAACAATGATAGAAGATAAGCATCTTATCTGCTTATGTATATGAAGATGTAGCTGATATTTTAGCCACAACCATATTAGAGTAGAGCTATGTGTTAGAAAAATTCAGAATGAAAGATTCAGATCTATTTTATTATTGTTGATGAAAACTACCTTATAAAGAGACTTATATTCCTTGAATGTTCCCTGCTGCTGATAGAATTTGAAGATGATGAATTGAACTGATACATTATTTAAGAAATAAAAACTCTTGATCAGATCTGATTTAGATAGATTGATCTGGCAATAATAACTTAAATCCAGCAAACTGCAATCTTTTAAAATAAAATTACTGATCACCTTCTCAGCAAAATGTGTATTGATTTGTTAATGTGCATTATTCCCCAGAAGCTTGCAGTTTATTTTATAATTTCCCTTTTTTTGTTATAGAAAGAACTATTATAATGGCAATAAAATTATTCATTTCCATTTTCCAAGATGATAAGAATAGCTTTTACCATTATAATATGAAATTTATAAATTGAAATAATATTTATTCATATATCTGTATATTAGTTTTCTATATCTGCTTACAGCATACATTTTTTAATGTAGGACATTTTAGTAGAAAACACCAAACATCCAATTTTGTTTGTGCTTTTTATGTATATCCTGAGTCCTTTTTCTATTGTGAGCATTAGTAATTGTTTCATCTCCAACTCTACTTGTCAAAGAAAAGGAAATCTAAGGGATGTTGTTGCTTGTTTGTCTTTTCCTTGGGGGAAAAAATGCAACCATTTAACCTTAAATGTGCCACTTCAAGTTGCTGGTTTAGTCTAAGCACAATCAAGAGGAAACCACATTTTCCGAACTTGCATAAATCAGAATTCCAGAGGGGAGGATTTAAAATGAGAGATGAAAGGGCATGAAATAATAAAAGCAGGGCCTTTGTAAAATAGACAACATAAGATTTGGTGATACAGAATGCAGAGTGAGCAAGAAACCCTATCACTTGGGTGTTAAAAGACAGTGTAGGAGCCAACAGCCTAGCACGAATGTTCCCTGTTACAATTTGTGTGACCTAGTCTAATGACGTAAACTCAAAAGCTCAGTTTCTTGGGCCTCCCTGGTGGTACAGAGGTTAAAGACTCAGCACTAGCAAGCTATCACCAGCCACTACAACGAGAGTTCAATCCCCAGCCAGGGAGGTGACCCACATGGTACAACAGACCTCTCTTGTCTCACCCACTGCTCCCCTCAGTAATGTATTACAGTCGATCTGTCTGTCCTGCTCCCAACTTGGTCTGGTAAATCCTTTCCTCCCATGCATCTCTACCTACACTCCATTTTTTGTATGCATAAAGAAATAGATATGTTTTTTAAAAAGCTCAGTTTATTTATGTATAAAATGTAGATGATATAGCAACTATGTTATAGGATTATTATTTTACATTCTTGTAAAATATTTAGCATATATCCTGACCCCAGAAATTGGTGTTAGGACACCACTAATAAAATGACTTTAATAATTAGTTAATTCTAATGTTAACCATATAATGGTTGACAGTTGACAAAGGACTTTATAATCTAGCAATTTTTTTGTGTTTCTCAATTTTTTTATTCTTACTTCTAAGTAAAGAAACTGAGTTTCCAAGTAAGGGGTATGTCCTCTTTCTCACAGGAAATAGGCTTTAAAGCTAAAATGTAAATAAGGACATTTAACTAAACATAGTCCAGCAACCCTCTGCCATAGCTGTTTTACATAGAAGGATGCAGTCCCTCTATCTAGGTAATGGTCCCCTAAGGAACATAAAGCTATGGAGAGAGTCATCTTCAGATAGATCAGTGTAGCTTATTCCTGTCAAGGGAAGCTTTGTGTTCTTTTGAAAACAGTGTACTTTGCATAATTTTGCATATATCATTTCCAGAAATGTGGTATTCAACATAAAGAACTTCAATGCAATTTTCTTTGAATTTTATGTATTGTCAATTGTCTGAAGCACTGAAATGCGAAAGTTGCTGTGCTTACAGCAGTTAATTGTGTCTTACTGTAGGAATGTCAACATCGCTCTAATTCAGAAATAATCTGCTGTACAACTCCTTCACTGCAACAGCTGAATCTGCAACTCCCTCTGACAACCAAAGCCTTTTTCATGTTAGATGGGATGCATTCCAAATACTTTGATCTCATTTATGTACCTAATCCTGTATTTAAGCCTTTTGAAAAGCCAGTGAAGATCTCAATAGGCAATGAAAATGTACTGGAAATTAAGGTAAGTAATGCTTAAAATACTCTCTTAAATCATCAACTTGCACTTAATTGGCTTCGCTATATGAATAGAACTGTTGTACTTGGTCATTACATCTTATATACTACATCAGCAAATATCTAAGCACTGAGAAAGAAATCTTTTTGGAATTAGGCTAAAAAGGCAGGTATAATAATGGACCAGTTTTTAATGAAGCATTTAACAACTCCTTCTTGTGTAGATATTAAAAAGTAGCAAATGTGGGGCACACATCTATTAAGTAGACTGACTGTGATGCATTATCCTGCTGATGTTATACATTTCCCTGGATACCAGCGTTCATTGTAAGATAAAAGGAAAGAGCTATGGAAGTAAATGCATTAATCGACATTCTGTACTTCCTTGTAATACTGGGAATTTTGTATCTGGGCGTGGTCATCTCTAAACTGACTTATAAATTGAGCTGGATTTCCTCTATTTTAGGAATATATTAGCCACTACGTATAATTTAATCACAGGATAACAGATCATCTTTTCTAGCCCAGACTGTTGCAAAGAACACTAAAGCTCAAAGAGGTTAAGTGTTTTGACAGGTGATGAAATAGTAGCAGAACCAAGACTATACTAAAGCTCTTGTATGCAACTTCAGTCATTTTTACTGCAGATAGTAATAAAACAGGCAAACCAAACAAGACTAATTATTTATAGCCTCAATCACTAGAAATAACAAGATGTTTATTCTTCAACATGTTCCTTTAGACATTCAGAAATTTTCTCCTGAAAAAACTGAAAATGAAAATATGAGTAAACACAACTAGAATAGTCTTTGTTTAGATGTAATATAAGCTCCCAAGGATCATCGCCATCTAAGTAAATATGTTTCTACTGAAATTTTTCTGCTTTTCAACAAGATTTTATCTACAGCCAAATGCATGCATATATTCACTCATACAAGTTTACTAATCTAGAAATGTTGGTTTGTACAATAATTAAGCAAGCCCAGCATGAAATTAAATGGAAGCCTGCTTCAGTGAACAGCGTGTTTACTACAGCAAAGTCCTTACATCTACTTCTTTAATTAGTTTTAGAAAGGGAAAAAGAGGTTTTATTATTTCTTTTTTTCCCTAATAAAACTAATCTAGTGTGACCTTTTACTTCCAACAATTATTGTGCTTGCCATTTGAAAGATACCATTTGTTTTTTCCTGATGAAAACAAAGGTTTATTTGCAAATTTTTTATGCTCAGATAAACTATTTTTCTGTTCCTGTATCTTGATAGAAGGATTAATGATAAAATGTTTTTATCTACCTTTCCAAACACAGTATTACATGGAAAGAAAACTTCTTTTTCCATAAATTAAATGCCTATTATTCATTGCCCTACAAAATTGTTGAACCAAGAAAAACATAATTTGATGTCATCCTCAGCCTTTGAGTACTAGTCCCAACACAGGCCAAGTGGTCTCTGAAAATAAGCACAGAACACTTTCTTTTCTTGCCTATATGCAGAATGACTCTTTTCTTTAACAAGTGTCTACACCTGTTACATCACAGAGTGGCCATCTGTAGAAAAAGAGGACACTTTGGAGGATATTTGTTATCATGACTTGTTTTTCTCCCTTACTCCATTTTCCATGCATATAAGAGGAAATCTAGGGTATAAGAAAACATTTGTATAACATCACTTTTACCCTTCATCAACTTCTAAAATTGATCACATTAAAAAATCTGCCACACAATGGACCAGGTGAGAAAATAATAAGAATAATGAACAGCCATATACCAGAGACATTTTGTGGGGATGGAGTGGGGAATGGGATCAAAAACGGGGTGGGGAGGAGGGACATGCATGGGACTCTGGTGATGGCACACGTGTGACTTGGTGATGGGAAACCCACGGGGATTACAACTGAGATGAAAAAAAATGTACAAAATGATGTAAAATAAACTGTTACATAATAAATAAATAAATAAATAAATAAATAAATAAATAAATAAATAAATAAATAAATAAATAAATAAATAAATAAATAAATAAAATAATCTGCCACCTATGATGATGGCACATGGGTGAATTGGTAGTGGGAAGCCCATGCGGATAACAACTGAGATGAAAAATGCACAAAATGAAGAATGATGTAAATGTTTTTTTAAAAAAATCTGCCACTTGGGGCAGAAACAAAAGAAAGCAGGGTATGAAGAAAGAAAAAGCGAAGAAAGTACTGGACATTTTTTTTAATCAAAAGAAAGGATACCATTTTACTTCATGTTGTGCTTATTTAATTACATCACAACACATGAGTGTAAAGTATGTTTATATTCCATCCATGAAAGCACTACGGAAAGAATCATGAGTTTGGAGTGCGATTTACTCCTTATTGCCAAGAAGAGTTCATGCTCCTCAGCAGTCATGCATGCTAGAATTCCTTGGCTAAAAAGATATTTTGGTAGTTTTGAACCCTAATTTTAAGAATTGCTTCAGTCAGCACTTGGCTCATGACTACATCATGGTCAAGAGGGTCAGCCAAGTTTGGGTCAAGAATACATTCTGGATACCAATTTTTATTTGCTCCTCAGAATAAATCAGAAACTCCATCATTGTTGAAAATAGTTTATGCGCAAAGTTTCAAGTCATCCAGCACCAGTTGGGGTCAGTGGTCTTAGTAATAGAGACAGCAGTTTGAGAGTACACCTTAGGGCATAATGTTCATGTCAACAACAGCTCACACTGGATGGCGTTTTAGGTCACACAGTACTCTAACATCAAAACTTAATCTGAAATTCATGGGGATCTGTGACCTTGAGATATTAATAATAATTATCTCCATTTATAGAAAACTAAACAAGGGTTTGGAAAATATAGGTAATTTGTCTTAGGTCATCTAAAGAACAAGCAATAGAAGAGGGCTTGAACTTAAGTTTCTTGGTCCCAAATGTGGTCTTTTCTCCACTAAATTGCAATGTTGTTTGTATTAATCTTCATATAATTTATACCAAAATACCTTTCACAATAGAAAAACTTTTTTATAATATGGCATATGTGTACTTCCTAAGTATCTTACTTTATAGTTTTACACATGAGCACAAATTACTTTGCAGCTTATGGAAATTAGAAATGTATAGAATTTCAGGTGGAACAAGGATTGCCCAACAATGCCTTAGAAGTTATGTTAACCTGGAACATATTGATACATAGATATGGTAATAGAGAGGCTTCAAAAATCTTATTATGGAAATATCAGCCAAGACAGGCATAAAGGAGCAAGAAGACTACTAAGATCAAAAACAGGAATTTGGGCTATGACACTGTGAGCCAGCTCAGTTCACCTACTGCCAGAGCCAGCCAAAATTGTCTTCTTAAGCACTTCCAACTAATTCAGTGCAACTACAGACTTAATCACAATCATAACCAACATGAAATCAGTTCTATTTCCAGACAAGATTATATATGAAGGACTCTTTTCCTAGAGGTCATTTGGCCCCATCCTTTTTGATGGTGCTCATAAACTGGTATATCCTGTGGTCCACATACGAATATGTATTCTGAAGAAAACACACACACATTTCCAGGGCTCACAGAGAGCACCTGTGGTTTCACAGTACCTCAAGTAGCCAGTGACGAAACAAGTTAGCTTTAGTTCACCCAGTTTTTCTCAAATGACCTGGGTGTTATCTCCCCAAATGCTACTTCACATCTCATGGAGCTCTGTGAAGATTCTTTGACCTGACTCCTAAGCAACGGTGTTTATATCTAGCTGAAGTGTAAATCTCCCCATCACCACAACCACCAGCTCACAGATTTTCTGCTGTAATCTCCCTGGACTTTGAACTGTTGCCTAGTTATCAGCCTGTGGCTCACTGCCTTAGCTGACTTTCCCAGACTCAGTCTTATAATTACCTGGAGTTACTTACATGACCCCTTCTATATTATAATGATATTTTTCAAATCCTCCCCACTTCCACATCTGTCTGCTCTGTAACCAGCTCAAACATAAGATAGAAACATCATGTCACACTTGGTCACAGTTGGAAAGGAAAGTGACAAAGAACATCCTGGTATGACACATTGGGAATACTTAGTTTTCATTTGATAAATATATCCATTTTAAGATTACAGTGAGAAGAAACTCTTATTCACCTTTGTATTCTTAATAACTACCTTGTGTCTAACACACACACACTAAGTGAACTTAGATGTACAGTAGATTTTTCTATCAAATAGAACTTGATTTACTTCATGGCCTATTCTTCTTTAACCTTATTCTCAATGTGTAAGTGTGGAAGACAGACAATAATTCCTAGCTCAAGGGGTTGTCTTTAACAGATAAAGTGAGATAATCATAATACATATTTGCGGATTAAAGACCAAAAAGGTTTTTCTATGTTGCTTTATTTTATACCTCCTAAGTGCTATACAGTGCTGGACCCAACATTACCTCAATTAAAATAATACAATAAAAAATAAAATAATAAAAGCTTTTATATTCACTTAACTGAAAAACAGCCAATTTTGTAAAGTCAGTGTTCTATTGAATAATAGTAAATAATACATAATTTTTAAATAAAACTTATGAAAATATACATTTTCACCACAACTGTATTTTAAATGACAAAAGTTAACCTGTGTCTTTTTTTCTTTTTGCCAAATCAGGCCCCACTGTTAGAACAGTGGGCTGCCAGCACTACTATTGTGATTTCCTGGACTTTAAAAGTTTTAAACAATTACATTAAAAAGTTGATAGTAATTTCTCAATGTAAGTCAGTACTAATTATGTGTTCCTTAGTAAGCCCACATGAAAAGGGTTCAGTTTTTCAATTGTGTGATCTATTTTCGTTCAAAAGAAGCCTTTATATAATATCTAAGGAGATCCTAGGTTAAAAGAATGAGTCTTGGAAATGTAAATACAGCCTTTTCATCCCTTCCCCCAACCTTCATTATTATCTAAGCAAGCAAGACACATTTTAGTCATTCCCTCATAAATCAAGGCCAGTGGCTCTTTCATCTTTCTTCCTTGTCATTCCCTGAATTCCCTCCAATATGTGAGTGAGTATCTGTGCTCTCCTCAGACTTAACCAACAAGTTGTCATTTGAAGCCTCAAAGTGACCTACTAGATTTATGTGCTTCTGGGTTGAATGCCCTGTGTGGCTGGTCTGATTCAATGAAGTACACATACTGTTCTAAAATATTACTAAGACAGGGTTTGATTTTTCTTTTTTAATACCAGGTTTACATTATAAAGAATACTTTCTTCCAACTTCTTTTCCCAGAATAACACTTGACCTACCACACTTTTGAGATCCATTGAGATCTATCGAGATATGACATATTTAATATAAAAGTAGTTTGCCACATATTAAAGATTATATAAAACAAAGTGGCAGTACTATCATTGTTACTGGCTGTTCTTTGTATCTCTCCCTAAAGTAATGGATTATATAATAAATAACTTTACTCATTACATCCTGATATAAGGAAAGATAACCTTTGTTTTCAGTTCTTTCCCAATGATAATTACTGGTTTCTCAAAAACAAATGTTTATTTATTTTAAGTGCCTAGTGGAAACTTTAGTTAACTAAATAATGTCAAATTGAATATTTTTTTAAATCCTGAAGTAGTAACTATGTAGTTGTTCAAAATAATGTAATATGTTCTTAAATCAGTAATGAGAATAATATGACATCTTTAAAGAAATATGGTATTTCTTTAAAATGAATTCACTTATGTATAGGGTTCAATGGTGCAAGAAGGATAAAAAGAAACTGCACAACTCAAACACAAAATTTTAACCTAAATCAGTTAAATCTGAAGCTCTGGAGATGGGACCCAGACATCAGTATTTTTTTAAGGCTCATTGTGTTTCTAAAAGTAAAGTCAAAGCTAAGTATCACTGCATAGACGGTGTCAGGCAGTTCAACAAATCGTTTCCTTTTTGCCAACCATCAATTTCCCATGAAAATGTTATTAAGGTGATTATGGGTAAAATGTATGAAACAAGAGTTTCCTTTTCTCTAAAATCCAATTTGATGAACTACCTATTTCAACCATCCAGATTCCCAAGAAAATGAGTATCATAAAGTTGTGTGCCTTGGCAAACAACATGCCCTGTGTTTGTTAGCATTCCTGCAAAACTGTGAAGTGTTAACCACACTCCCCCATTTTTTCCTTTCAGGGAAATGATATTGACCCTGAAGCAGTTAAAGGTGAAGTGTTAAAAGTTGGAAATAAGAGCTGCGAGAATATACAGCCATACTCTGAAACCGTTCTATGTACAGTCCCCAATGACCTCCTGAAATTGAACAGTGAACTAAATATAGAGGTGGGATTCCTATATTCCTCTCATGATGTAATGAAAAATGCCAATGTAATTACGACACTTACAGGCTTGAAATAATCATTAAAATTCATTTGTGTGTTGGGTGTAGCTTGTCAACCCAGCTTCAATTCCTACTTGTCATACTAGAAATAGTAAGCTTTTTTTTTTTAAGATTTTATTTATTTATTTATGGATACAGAACTGGGGTACAGGCCAGAGGTGCAGGGACGGTGAGAGGATTCACCACACACAGAGCTGGGAGCAGAACAGGCAGATAGACAAAGTACACTGCTGAGGGGAGCCTCGGGCAGGTCAGGAGAGGTCTGCCGCATCATGTGGTCACCTCCGGGGCAGGCGAGGATCAAACTCATGTGGAAGTGGCTTTAGCTTCTTAGTGCAGTGCTTGAACCCGCTGCGCCACCAGATAGGGCCAGAAATAGTAAGCTTTTAATGCAGTTCCTCCTTCCCAAGCTCCAGAGAGACCTCAAAAGAACTTCGTATTTACACTGTCTTTCCATCAAGCCATAGGCTTGCCAGAATATACTGTAATTCTCAGGAGGACTGAGGAAATATCAAGAGTGCCTCTTCCCCCACTCCTCATAGCCCACTCCTCATAGACCAGAACTAACATACAACTGCCCTCCACAGTAATCTCCAATGCATAGATCCCATTATATAGGCACTAAATAGAAAGCAATTAGAAATGTTTTTATAGTAACTTCTTTCATGTAGACAACTAAGTCAGATAAACTGGAAACAGAGTGACTTTTGTTCATCTATTGAGATACAACTCATATACCATGCAATTTACCCACTTAAAAGTGTTTAGTGTAGTGGCTTTTGGTATGTTATTCATTGTTTAATAGGAGTATGACTGAATCATGAGATCAGAGTTTGGAATTCAGAAACACCATAAATTCTAAACAATCATAACAGAAGGAGTCTCAAAGCTTTCTTCTCTGTATCAAAACTGAAGTAAGAATATGCTGAGATTTTATTATTCCACAACAATAATATGATTATTTACCTTTTATGGGACTTCTCTGCTCTCCAGCCTAGCCTCCAGAGCAGAATTAAGTCCTGTTGTCTTGTTTATTCAGACTTTAGTGATACAGATCACATTGTATTATAATCATTTGATTTGTGTGTCTGTTTACCCTTTTACAATTTAGTTAGTTCCCCAATTTCAGAGACTATTTTTTATTAATCTTTTTAGTCCTAATGTCTCATTACAAATACTAATAACTGAATATCATATAACTACTTCAGGGATCAGTAGCCCCTAATTACTTGACTACTAAAGCAGAATTGAGCAATGACTTATTACTCTGAAGCAATTATGCCATTTGTAAGGACGTTAGTAACCAACCAAGTGTTTCTACCCAGAGGGACTGATTCAGCCTGTGTGATATATTTTGAATCTATGATGATGAAATTTTGACTTTTCTTTATTTTTCATTTTTAGTGGAAACAAGCAGTTTCTTCAACTGTCCTTGGAAAAGTAATAGTTCAACCAGATCAGAATGTCACAGGACTGATTGTTGGTATTGTTTCAATATCAATAATGCTGTTATTATTATTTGGACTCTTCCTGTGGTGGAAAAAGAGAAAGCAAATTAAAGGTACCATTTTGTTAAAATAATTGCTTGTTTTAGAGTTACCTTTAAAACATAGTCACTGCAGTTTAAAACTGTTCTAGTGTCATGTGTGTTCTTACATACAGTCCGTCTAGTTACTGGGTCCAGGTCCACTGGGACCCATGATAGCCAAGTGTTTAACAAGCCCTTTCTCTCTCTCTCTGTTTTAAGATCTGGGCAGTGAATTAGTTCGCTATGATGCAAGAGTACACACTCCTCACTTGGATAGGCTTGTAAGTGCCCGAAGTGTAAGTCCAACTACAGAGATGGTATCAAACGAATCTGTAGACTACCGAGCTACCTTTCCAGAAGGTATAGTTCAGTTTATTATTATGAGAAATATCTCATTGGTTTGTGGCATTGTTTATTTTTGGTATTGCCTTTATGCTTTTATATAAATATAAAACAAGTGTGTCCTGAAGAGGTATAAGCCTGTCTTCCTCAATCATACACAATATTTGTAAACCAGTGATACCTCAATTTGAAAAGAAAAAAAAAATTTCCCTGGCCAGAAGTATTTAATTTCACACAGAATTATGTCCTTTTTTTTTTTTTAAGATTTATTTATGTATGCATGCAGAACTGGGGTACAGGCCAGAGGTGCAGGGGCGGTGAGAGGATTCACCAGAGACAAGAGTGGCAAGCTGAACAGGCAGGCTGACAAAGTACACTGCTGAGGGGAGCAGTGGGCGGGTCAGGAGAGGTCTGCAGCATCATGTGGGTCACTTCCAGGGCAGGCGGGATGGAACTCATGCTGAAGTGGCTTTAGCTTCTCAGTGCTGTGCTTTAACCCGCTGTACCACCAGGGAAGGCCGAATTATGTCCTTTTTTTTTTTTTTAATATTTATTTATTTATTCATACAGAACTGGGGTACAGGCCAGAGATGCGGAGGGTGAGAGGCTTCACCAGACACAGAATGGGGAACAGAACAGGCAGATCGAAGAAGTACACCGCTGAGGGGAGCAGTGGGCGGGTCAGAAGAGGTCTGCCACGCCATGTGAAGCTCCTCCGGGGCAGGCGGGAATCGAACTCATGCGGAAGTGGCTTAAGCTTCTTAGTGCTGTGCTTTAACCCACTGCGCCACCAGGGAGGGCCCCGAATTATGTCCTTTTTAACAGTGAACTCATTTATATGTTGTATTCATATTTTAAGCACTCTTCTCACAAAATCTTACTTTTTAAATCATTCAAGTTAGGTAATTTGCTTGTCATCCAATTACAATGCTAGGAAATTTGTGGCATTCTCTTTAACAACCAGCAAAGAGTTAAGCTATAAAACATTTTTATTAAAATATAAATTAGCAGTGCTACATCTTTTTTCATTGTTGATCATCAAGCTAATGAGCACTCCTTAATGAACTCTTAGTACACAACCTTTTACTCACAACATTCCAAGAACTGAAAATACAGTATTTTGAGCCTTACCCATTAAAACATTCAATTGTTATTTAAAACAGAGGGGTTAACATCATTTGCTTTGCAAAACACTAGGCCTAGTAACAGTGGAGTTGGAGACATTTCACATTGTTTTATTTAAAATATCTTAGCAAAAGCAAGCTGTCTGTATTGTATCAGCTCCATTATCTTTAGAAGTTACAGGACATGAGTCAAGTGCAGGCATTTTCCTGGTTGCATATTTACCATTGGACAAATAAAATGAGTCACAAATAGTTAAGGACACTGGAAAACTTACACATTGTCTATCAACAGAAGTATAAGAGCAAAGAGGCAGCTTAACATTTTAACATTTGCAATACTTTTATTTTTTGAAGTTTATGTTCTGTAGAACCATCTTGTAAATATTATCTTTCCCCACATCACTGCAGTCACCTTTAAAAATGCATGCCCTTAACAATGAGATAAATCTAGTTTATAGGTTTAAATTTAGATTTGTATGCTATTTAATATTTATATTAATATCACATCTTATAGCTCTAATCAGAGAGCATTAAAATTCACAAGTATTCTTTATAAAATGTAATCTTCTTTCAACCTCCTTACTCACTAAATCTCTATCATAATTGCTAAGAAATTTGAGTTTCACCCTCTTTCCTATAATGTACCTGCACATAATGGAGACTTTATTACCTATGTGAAAATTTTTAGTACTAAAATTTTACTATTATGTATTTCCAGTCATCTATATGTATAATATTTCACTGTACACAATTTCCATGGCCAAGAATGTATATAGATTTCAGCAACACTAATAATATCCATTAATAGATATTAACTTGAAAGGTGTCTTTTCATTTTCTTATATTTGAACTCACATTTCTTTCATTTTAAATTACGACTTCATTATTAAGTTTGCTGCCCCTAATGCAATCCGGCTTTGCCATTGTTTTCTAATAATTTTGCTTTAATTTGCAGACCAGTTTCCTAACTCAACTCAGAATGGATCTTGCAGACAAGTGCATTATCCTCTGACAGACCTATCCCCCATCCTAAATAGTGGGGACTCTGATATATCTAGTCCATTACTGCAAAATACTGTCCACATTGACCTCAGTGCTCTAAATCCAGAGCTGGTCCAGGCAGTCCAGCACGTAGTGATTGGGCCAAGCAGCCTGATTGTGCATTTCAGTGAAGTCATAGGAAGAGGTAAGTATTTCCACTCAGTTTTTTGTTAAATACGATTTTTCCAGCATTTTATCTTCTGGCTTTGCAGATTAGGAACTTAGACAATGGTGAAAGCAAACTGACAGAGCAGTGATAACAAGCACAATGGAATTCTGTTCTGCAGAAATACTGTCCTGCAAATCACATCCATGGGGATTTGCCCTTTATATATGGTGGCACTTTCATAATCTGCCAAACATTACAAATAAGTAGCGTTACTTCCTCACCTTTCTCATATGACACCTGTAGTTACTTGGAACGTACCATTTTACTTCCTTCTGAAAATCATTCTTTAGTTCCAGTATTTTTATTCGTATTTCCCTCCAGTTTTTCTTTACCCTAAGGATAGTGACTACCTTTATGAAATCCTGGTTCATACCAATTTGTACTACTGTACAGCATCAGAAGACAGGGAATTAATTTATAGCATTCCTCTGATCTGAAGCAACATATATCATCTCTACAGTGCACTCCAATTTCTTTATACAAAGAGAAGCAGATATTTGTAATAAGCTAGTCAGAGCAGCAGTAGCAGCTAGAATTTACAGTAGCTTAGGAAACAGCAGGAAAGAAATCCACCAGAAGTAGGGAAATGAGCTTCACTCTTCCCTTTTTACGCCAAAATGTTTTCACCTTTAATACTGAGTGAGTTTGGATCCCATTTATTCCATGTTCTGCGAGAGCTACCATAGGTATCAGCCAGCATGCTGCAGAAGAACTAATGGGACAATCTGCCTTAGACGAACACAAGGCCTCACCGTATTCCCGTGATAGCATCTCACATTCCAGATTTTTAGCACTAGCACACACCCCTTCCCTAATAGCAGCTTCACTACTAACAAACATGTTTCAAATCAGAATAATAGATAGTTCTATTACCAGCCTATAAATCCCAGTAATTATATCCGTTTTTGAGTGTGTGGCCTCACTAATTATGTTCTAATTATACACATTGCAAAATTAGAGTTTTTATTTTTAGCATAAAACCTGCTAAAAATGGCAGCTATTTCTCTTTTGAAATAATAGTCATTGACATTCTGTAAATATTAGCTATATTTATTTGCGTTATTTCCCACTAGAATGTTAATCCCAAGATCATAGGTTTTATTCATCTTTGCATACAAAAAGGTAGACCAGTGTGTGACATTCACATACTAGGCACTCAGGGAGTCTTGGCTGGGTGGATGAATTAATTAATGAATGACTTACACAGCTATCAGACTTTTGGCACCTCTGGGGAAAATTACTGCCACTGGATGAAAGGCTACCATTGGGGAAATGATGTGGTTAAAGCCAGAGGGAATGGGTGAAATGACTCACAGTGAATTTGCTTCATTTGGTCAATTGCCTTTCAGTTTTTGCCAACCTGTATTATGTTTTCCCTGGTGACTAATGGGGGAAATCCTTATTCTATAAAGTTAATCATATTTCTAATAGTAACATTTTATGTCATTTCGGTTTACTGATGTATAGGGAGCTTATTTTACTGTATTTCTTCATGTAGGTAAAACTTTACTTTAATAAATAATAAATTAATTTTATGATATGAAACAGATGTTACTCCTTACTTCACTGGTTTCACTATGATCGAATATTTTACTATACTAGACTTTAATAGTAGTCACATCACCTAAATACTTTACTATGTATGTATCAAATAATCATCTTGCTTGTATCTTTAGATGAAATGTATTAGATCTATGTATTTTCTCAAATACACAGTTGTTAATCAAAAGAATAAGAAGTAATAAGAAGTAAAGTCACTTTTTTCCATGCAGAAAAAAAGGAAATGAAGATCAGGAACAGCTTAATAAATAATTATTGCATAATTAATAGCATTAACCAAGTTCCCTCTTTTGCATAGGACACTTTGGGTGCGTATATCATGGGACTTTGCTGGACAGTGATGACAAGAAAATTCACTGTGCTGTGAAATCCTTGAATAGTAAGTTCCACTTTATTTCACAGTAGAGTGCAGTTTTGTGCTTTGCAGACTAATAAATAATTCATAATAAAATGTTGATTTACACTTTCCCTTAGGAAAAAAATCAGCTACCCCTGGAATTGTGAATCTAATCCTGAAAATATGTTTTATCTAAATTCTTATTGAAGTATTTCCTCAGAAATCATTCCTCATAGCACCCATAATCAAATTGTAGGAGAAATGAAGTTCTTGGATGAAGAAGAGTATCATTTAACTATGTTTGGCTTGTAGTATTTGTTTTGCAAGTGACATTTGTGGAAACTATGGGAAGCATGTTGGCATATAATGTTAGTAATGACTCATTTTACCCAGAGGCATTTCTTTAATTATTTTTAACCACAACTTCCATTAAAAAGATAAAAAAGTAAAATAAGGCAAACAGGAGAAAAGTATACTGGCAGAAAATTGAAAAATTCTAAATGTGCTAATACCTCATTTATCTGCATTTTGAGGGGATGTGGTATTCCCAATAAGTGAGTTTCCTAAGCAAATGGAATTTACTCCTATGCTAGGACCTGCTTAACTTTCAGCACTTACAGAGAAAATATTTTGTAAGTGGAATGCATATTCAGTTTAAAAAACAGAAATGCCTCCAAACATAAGCTGAGTCTATATTTGATGACCAGAGTCATAATTATAGCAGAAAATTGCTCTCCTGTGTAACTCAGTGCCCTCCTCATACTTGCTTTCCTCACTACACCTTTGCTAACAGGTCTCAAAGGGCAAGTGAACTTGCCCTTTCTTCCCCCATTTCTAAAGTTCTGCTTATAATTGACAGCAATCTGAAAAAAAAATGTTGACCAACAATATTATGAATTTATCCTGGAGTTGGTAAGCTTAAATGCAAAAGTGGACAGTTTTCCTGCAAGATGCATTATTGCCAGAACTTTTTTAGCTTTTTTTTCCCCCCATATAAATCTCCATTCTGAGCAATGCTCTGTATTTTCAGTTTGGTTGAAAGTCTAACTGCAAGGTAATTAAAGAAACAGCTTATACAAAACCTAACTACAAACTGTGATTGATGTATAAATATGATTGTTAATAAATTTGCCTCCTGGGAGAACACTACTGTCAATCGTACTTAGAACAGTGCTGACACAGGGCAGTCTCTCTCTGTTCCTGGTTCGTTTGAGTTTCTCTCCAGTCCAGATGGTCTTTTAGGTCCCAGATGCATTGCAAGTATAAAAGGATACCATTACCAACACTGCTACTAGTCAGAATAATAAGATAAAAGTTGTGAACTCTTCTAACCTGAAGTAAGCCTTCAGGTTAACTATCTGGAAGTGTCTATAAACTACCATACAAAAAACTATCTATAGATACCATATGACAATTGCACTTAAGCTCTCCTAGTGCAGAAGCCATAAAATTACACTCTACCACCTGTTTTAGTAAGAGACTATTGAGACCCAGCCTCTTGTTGTCTGTGGCTGCTTTTGTACTACCCAGGTAGTAATGAGCATTTGCCACAAAGACTACATGGTCCACAAAGCCAAAAAACTATTTACTATCTGAACTTTCATAGAAAATGTTGCCATTCCTGCCCTAAACTATAGAAGTAGACTCACCTGCTTCCCTCTTCTTTTTCTGTATAGGAGAAACTGATTGCTAGACTCATAAAAAGCAAGTGTAGGTGGTGACTTGAAGGCACCATGCAGGGTGTCTTCATTCACTCAGATGTATTATAAAAAAAAAAACATTCTGAATATGAAGCTCCAATATGATTCAGCCTTGGAGTTTTAATGCCATTGTTCTCTTTAACCAAATTTGACAAAATATTTATTGTTCTGTAATGAAGTTAATGTCTCCCCCACTGGATTTTTCAGGGATCACTGACATAGGAGAAGTTTCCCAGTTTCTGACAGAGGGAATCATCATGAAGGATTTTAGTCACCCCAACGTTCTCTCACTCCTGGGAATCTGCCTTCGAAGTGAGGGGTCTCCACTAGTGGTGCTACCATACATGAAACATGGAGATCTTCGAAATTTCATTAGAAATGAGACTCATGTAAGTATGAACTGGTGAGCTAGGTGTAAGCCAGCTAGTCTATTAGGAAAGTTTATATATGGGACTTGCATTATTTTTCTATTGAACAGTTTTCTTCTAAACAATAAACTAATAAGTGATGGCTTATAATGCATCCTGATGAGGATAAGAATTTTTATGTACTTTGTTCACTGCTATAGCTCCAACACTTAAAGAAGCATTTAGCACATAGGCTTTAAGTTTGTGTTGAATGAATGAGCTCAGAGCTATACCATAAAAGAGGTTCTTGGGCTCTTGCAAATGGGAGTTTTTTTAGTGATATTTATGCCAACACCTAAAAGATCAGCAAGCAATGGCAAAGCCAGAAAGGGCAGAGAAAGAACTACCCAGAAACAAAGTCATGAGTGACTTTAGGCTTTTTCTTGGCTCTTGTTGCCCAGGACTACTTAAGGAGTAGCTTTATTTTTGTTTAAAACAACTTCATAAACATAGGGTCAGGTTCTAAGTTAGTAAAGAAATAACTGTGCCTCCTGTGGCACAAGGGGTTAATCTCAGCACTATGAAGCTATCTGCAGCCACTGCAGCAAGAGTGTATCCCCATCCAGGCAGATGACCCACATGGCACATCTGGCCTATACCTATTACTTGTATGTATAAATAAAAATAAATCCTTAAAATAAAAAGGAATAATTCATGTTCAACCTAAAGAATAAAATACCCCATGGCAGTAAATGTTTGTAGATAAGGTATTTACCTAACAAAACACATAGCTGCCCTGACATCCTGCATATCCTGATGAGCTCCCAAATGGTGAATGACTGGGTATTCCCTCCTCTTGGGAATTGTGAATAAGAAGCTGTCTTTTCTTTCTTTTTTTTTTTTTTTTAATATCTATTTGTTTATGCATACAGAACTGGGATATAGGCCAGAGGTGCAGGGGCTGTGAGAGGATTCACCAGCGACAGAGTAGGGAGCAGATTAGGCTGACTGACAAAGTACACTGCTGAGGGGAGCTGCTGGTGGGTCAGGACAGGTCTGCTGTGCCATGTGGATCACCTCCTGGGACAGTGATCAAACCGAACTGAAGCTGCAGCAACTAGCTTGCAGTGCTGCACTCTAACCCACTGCGCCAACAGGGAGGGCCCTCAAGCTGTCTTTTCAATGATATGAGTCTCCCAACTATTGATCTCACCATACCTAAATAAAACTTACATTTAAAAATTTAAAGCACCTTCATTTCTCCCCATGGGGGAAATGGCCAAAATTTATAAAATTGTCTAGTCTTTATAAACAGTAAAGACTTAATAAATGGCTGTTATCAACAGGGCCCAAGTTTTCATTTGAAATAAGATAATTCTTAAAAACATTTCAGAATTCTGAAATCAAACTTAGAACAGTAAGAACTAAATTCTTGCTTTTCCAACTCTCTTTGACTACAGAATCCAACTGTAAAAGACCTTATTGGCTTTGGTCTTCAAGTAGCCAAAGGGATGAAATATCTTGCAAGCAAAAAGTTTGTTCACAGAGACTTGGCTGCAAGAAACTGCATGTAAGTATAGGCATCTCTGTATTCATGGTCCAAATTAAGTGACAAGAGGAATCTTTCCCACTGTTCATGGTTTGTAAGGACATTTTCTCTTCTTATGCAAAAGTCCTTTATTTTCCGTTACAGTTTTAAATTTATATGTAAGCACTGGGGATGTGGGCGGGTCTTTCAGGCTTTATTAAATGGAGAATTTGAAAGGGATTCTCCAGAGGAGGTCTTAAACAGCTGTTGTGTGCTTTTCTTTTTCCTTCCCACCAGTAGCCCCCAATGTTGTGGTTTCACACTGCATTAGTGTTAGGGAGGGAGAATTTGATCTTCAGCGTTTTATAGTGAAAAGGAGAGGGCTGGTAACATAAATACCAACATATTGTAACTTCCCAAGATTGGATTTGAAATCCGCCTGCAGAAGCCCTACCAAAAATGGTATTTGGGAATGAATATACAAAGAACTTTATTTGTGTCTGGCTGGCTGCGCTGTATAATGGAACAGTCAACAGTTTGTAATTGATTCGGTGCTTTCTGTTGCATAGCACTGATTCATGACTTATGGTATGTGTGAATGAAAGCTGTGCTATTAATTTCCTACCTTGGTTTCTGTCAGTGTGACGGCACAAAAGCCAGCTTAAACAAAAGGATGCATAGCTTCACAAAACGGAAATTGGTTTTTGTTGAGCCTTACTTACTTTTCTCAGATGCTTTACTGTGTACCCTATTTCTCTATTATCTCATTGGTGAGGTATATTAATTTTATGTACTAGCCTAACCCATTTGAGAATGGAAAAGTAAAGTAACAATCCATTGTCATATCTCCTTCCTAAAATTGAAGATTACTAATAAGTTGACAAGTGAAGATAGGCATGCACTTTGGGTAGGCAATTGGCATTTTCTGTAAGCAACCAACATGATCTTACAGATCAATGGTCAAACAAAAAGGATTTTTTTATACCACAGCATTTATGATCTCTTTCCTTGGCCTGTTGAATTTGTAATGCATCATTTTTTATTCAAGAATTTCACTGTGATTTAATGTTAGTCAATAGAAGTCAGATGCAACCTTTCCTTCAGAAGTTATGGACCTCAAATACTAGAGTTGCTTGTTATAATCTATAGATGTCCACAATTGCTGTAAATTTTCTTTACAGCCACCAGTAATATTTTTTATCCTTTCTGTAGGCTGGATGAAAGTTTCACTGTCAAGGTTGCTGATTTTGGTCTTGCTAGAGACATGTATGATAAAGAATACTACAGTGTACACAACAAAACAGGTGCAAAACTGCCAGTGAAGTGGATGGCTCTAGAAAGTCTGCAAACTCAGAAGTTCACCACAAAGTCAGATGTGGTAATGTACCGATCTTCTTGACTTTCTCTTTTGCTCTTATACCCAAATCATTTAGAGATTTATATCCACTTAATTTTTTCAAAGAGGGGAGCTTCAGTTCCATTAATTTCAGTTTTCTTCATAAGTAAAAAAGTGCTTGGTTGTCCAACAAGTATTTATATGTTTTCATTCATTCATTTATTTATTTAAAACATTTGTTCAACAAGGCACCTTGGGAAGCCCACCACTCAATGAGGCATGAGCCTGTTCTTAAGGAACTTTGGCTCAGCAGGGAATAAACAGCATGTCTATCAGTACATGTCACACAGAGGTGGGCTGTAGTTAGCCTGGCCCCTGTAGACCAGGGCAATAGATTTCTACCTCAAGAATTGTCTTGAAACTCAAACTTATGTGTTTCCATCATTCCAAATACACATACATTAGACACCTCCCTCTGCCTCTGTCTTATCTTCTCACCCTCCTTCCCATGGGTCCTTCAGCCATCCTTCTCTGATACCAAATTACTGCCACTGGCATACTGACCAGTTTGGAAGACCTGATCCCAGATTAATTATCAGTTTCTAACTTTGAACTCCTCATCCCAAAGCATCTACAATATCAGTTACATTGCAAAATTACAAGATTGCAATAAAAATTAAAAAGGTAAATTTTAAAAAGAAAAAAAGAGAGGCAGGAAGGGAGAGAGAGAAGGAAAGAAAGGAAGGGAGAGAGGGTGGGAGAGTAGGAGGGAGGGAGGGAGAGCTGTTGCCTGTGCCCAGTTCATTATATAACACTCACTCTACCACCCTAACTTGGGAGTTTAGTCACCTAGACTTCCCAGGTCACCAACTTGCTGCAGTTACCCTTACCTCTCCTTGTTCAGAAACCTACATGGTCTGCACATGGATTAACTTCTCCTAATTGTCTGCACATAGTGTTTACAGATATAGTCTTCTGGGGCTCAATTCCAGTGGTGGTCTATTAATTTCAGCTTTGCCCACATTCAACATTCGAAAACCTCCACAACACAGACCTGTTTTCAACCTTACCTCATCCTTCATCTAGTCCACACATCAAGCACAGTGACCTATTATATTTGTGTTCAATAAAAGACATCTTTTTGATGTGGTACATATACACAATGGAATATTACTGAGTAACCAAAAAAAAAAAAAAAAAGCCTTTTGCAGCAACATGGATGGAGCTGGAAGGGATCATGCTTAGTGAAATAAGCCAGAAAGAAAAGGAAAAATAGTCTACGGCCATACCACCCTGAACGCGCCCGATCTCGTCTGATCTCGGAAGCTAAGCAGGGTCGGGCCTGGTAGTACTTGGATGGGAGAAAAGGAAAAATACCGAATGGTTTCACTGATAGCAGGAATATAACAGACCAGGCAAGAAAATAATAACAATAATGAACAGCTATATACCAGAGACATTTTATGGGGTGGAGTGGGGAATGGGATCAAAACAGTAGCGGGACGGAAATGCACTGGATTATGGTGATGGCACATGGGTGATTTGGTGATGAGAAGCCCATGGGGATTACAGCTGAGATGGAAAAATGCACATTATGATGTAAAAATAATATATTATTTTTTAAAAAGACGTCTTTTCTCTTACCCCTGTGCCCACTCCCTCCATCTGAAATATCCTTTCTTCTGTCACATTACATGTACCCACTAAATAAATTCTCTCTGTTCTTCAAAATCCACTTCACTTCTTGTCACTTTCTTCTGCAAGCTTTTCTCAGAAGCCCCCTATTTATTTGATTTTTTTACTGCATTGTTAGCTATTGTTTGTTACTGTTCTGTAACACATTTAATTGCGCAATACTCTTAACCCTGCTCAATTAGTCTTGGGGCCTATCCAATAACTTGTACAGTAACAGACTAATACACAATTAAGGGTCATTAAATATTTGTTAAATTGATTTAAATTTTAGTGCAAATTCTGGAACTTGAAGATTAATACAATGAAGTCATAAAAAGTGACTCATAATATTTTCAGTCTTTAAAAACTTTAATTTTGAAAGACTGCAGAAGACAGCAAAGTTTCTACCTGCAATGAACAAAGTTTCTATCTGGAGTGAGTTTGTTTTCTTCATTTGAATCAAGGCAGTCAGATGTCCTGAGTGCCCATAAGTGACCCACCTATGCTGGCCTACTGTCATGTGTGTCATTGTTACCTTGGTGCACGACCCAGGGAGATAACATGTATTACCTGATCTATTCTGAATAGTGGGCTTTTAATCTTCAATCAAAAACTTGCATAGTTAGTGAAGTTTAGTAAACCAATCAAAACCCAAGAGTCAGTGTTTATCCCAGTGTGAATTCAGAGTTGCTGGGGAAGTTTTAGCAAGTCACTTAACCTCTCCATGTCTCGTGCTTTTCCTTTAAAGTACTTATACAGCTGTTGTATATTTATCTTCTACTTTAACATTTTTAAATTAGTTTTTAATAACCTGTTGTCTAGCAGTTTTATTACTTCTGATTTTTCATCTGGATTTTTACTTATTAGATTTCTCCTTTAATATTAACATTTAGATATAGTTCTTTAAGAGTGTTTGTGAAAATCCAGCAAATTTGAAAGACTTCCTTTATCATTTTGTGTACTAATAATCTAAAATTGTAATAACTGGACAGCCACTTACAAACAATAAAACTGGGGTACTGTAACATATTAAAAGCAATTTAATTTGTATCAAAATCTTGAACATAAGATCTGAAGTCATAAAACTCCTAGAATAGAGCATAGCATCAAGCTCCTTGATACATTGTTCTTGACAAATATTTTCTCAGATTTCATACCAAAAGAAAAGGCAACCAAAGCAAAAATGGACAGATGGGACTCTATCAAACTATATCTTCTGTGCAGCAAAGGAAGCCAACAAAATGAAAAGGGAACTAACTAAATAATAGAAATATTTGTCTATTATATATCTGACAAGGGGTCAATATCCAGAATAGATAAAGAATTCATACAACTCAATAACAACAAAAAAAATGTTAATAATAATTCTAGTGATGAGTAGAAGATCTGAATAGACATTTTTCAGAGATGGCGTGCAAATGAACAACAGGCATATGAAAAGGCAATCGACATCACTCATCATCAGGGAAATGCAATCAAACCACAATAAGATATCATCACATGTCTGTTAGAATGGCTGTTATCAAAAAGACAAGAAATAACAAGTGTTAGCAAGGATGTAGAGAAAAGAGAACCTTGTGCACTGCTGGTGGGAATGTAAATTCATGTAGTCACCATGGAAAATAGTATGGAGATGCCTCAAAATTTTTAAGATAAAACACCATCTGATCTAGCAGTTCCATTTCTGGGTATTTATTTGAAGAATACAAAAAAATGTCATAAAAATATATCCATCTCCATGTACACTGAAGCATTATTTATAATAGCCAAGATATGGAAGCAACCTAATTATCCATGGGAATATATTATATGTAGTGGAATAATTATTAGCCATAATAAAGAAGGACTTCTCATTTGCAACAACATGGATGAACCTTGAAAATCTTATGCTAGGTGAAATAAGTTAGAGAAAGGTAAATACTGTACCATCTTACTTTTGTATGGAAACTAAAACAGCAAAAATGGGTAATGGACTGGTGGATACCAGGGGCAACAACCTATGGTAGGAGGGGTAGGAAAAAGGCCTTAAAAACTGCAAACGCCTTACTTTAAATAAGTTCACAGGATGTAATGAATATCATGGGGACTATAGTTAGTAATATACTATTGTATATTTGAAAACTGCTAGGAGAGTAAATCTTAAAGTTTTTCATCACAAGAAAAAATATTGTAACTGTGCTAATGAATGTTAATAAGACTTAAGTTGCAATCATTTTACTCTGTATACAAATATTGAATCATTATTTTTATATACCTGAAACTAATATAATGTTAAATGTCAATTATGTCTCATTGACATAATTGTAATAAAGTTTCTAAAAAAAAAAATTGTAATGAAGTTTCTAAAAAAAATAATTGTAATGAAGTTTCTAAAAAAAAAAGAATAGAAGCATATTAATAATTGGATCCTGCGTGAGAGGATAATATATTCTATTTTCTACTTAGGAAATTGTAATCATCACATGGACTTCAGATATTCTTTTTGAAAACTTAAACTTATAACCTAAACTCTCTCCAATTCTGATTTAAATATGTCATAAGATATACAGCTTACTAGTTACTGCTAAAGAACTTTTTTAATGACCATACTAAGCCACGTTTGGTTGTCAAGACCATTGATTACCGTTCATCACACCTCGTTCACCTGGATTGTCCTTTCTTTTGACTAGTGGTCCTTTGGTGTGCTTCTCTGGGAACTGATGACCAGAGGAGCACCGCCTTATCCAGATGTCAACACCTTTGATATAACAGTTTACTTGTTGCAAGGCAGAAGGCTCTTACAACCCGAATACTGCCCAGATGCCTTGTAAGTAGGAATATCAACAGCATCTTCATTTCTATTGCTTTCTTTGTTTGCAAAGGAATCTTGCCTTCAAAAAGGGCCTCTCACAGCATTTCTTTCTTTCTATAACAGATATGAAGTGATGCTAAAATGCTGGCACCCTAAAGCTGAACTGCGCCCATCCTTCTCTGAACTGGTCTCTAGGATATCAGCAATATTCTCTACTTTCATCGGGGAGCACTATGTCCACGTAAATGCTACTTACGTGAACGTCAAATGTGTGGCTCCATATCCTTCTCTCTTATCATCACAAGATAACATTGATGGCGAGGGGGGAACATGATGGATGGATATATGCCAGCAGCCTCCTTCTGAGAAACATCACAGCACTGTCCAAGCAACAGTCCACACTTTATCGAATTTTTTTTTTCACTGCCTGGCCATTGAAAGGCCATGAGATAGTTTTTGCTTTTGTCAAAATTGCACTATAGTGGACCTTCTATTGATATTTAAATTTACTGGATTCTAAGGAATTTCTCATCTGACAAAGCATCAGAGCCACAAGCTCTGTCCCACAGACCCGTGTGACTAATGCCTACACCACAGCTGCAATGACGCGCCTGTCACTTTCAGGCCACAGCCTGAACTCTGAGTTGAAATTTTTAAAAATCAAGATCCCACCTGATTTCATATGGGAAACTGAGGAAATCAATTTTGAGGGTTTCTTGATCACAGGAAACTTAGAAGTTGTAATGTCTAGGACAGATGTGACACTTCAGGACCAAACCACTCACTTAGAATTAAAGTGTTTGAAGACTTTTATATGTTGTATGATCACATTCCCTTTAAAATTCTGCATACATGTTCCTTTTATTGAAGAAACGTCTATAGTCAGCACAGTCAACATTTCAAAACAGGCATGAAATGAATTTATAAATTAGCAGGAATATTTACATATTGTACATAGATGTCATTAGGAAGTTTTCATAAAATAGCTTAGTCAATGAAATATTTACTTGTCATTTAAAAGTCAACTGTCTTGAGAATGATACTGCTCTGATTAAGGAATGTGGATATTTTGATCTTTTTTTAAATGGCAACTCTGAATAAGACAAGTAATTTGTGATAAGTATTTTTAAAGGTAGCTCAGTGTGTTTTTAAAACAGAATACATCTGATTTGAAGGTTTATTGCTCCCAGTCACAGCTCATACACAGAGCAAAGAAAGGATCATTGAACTAAAAATATTAACTTCTTTTTCAGGTGACAGCTTCCCACCCCGCAAACAATTGGAGACAAAAAAAAATTGGGGGAGATCAATTATACATTAAAATATGCTTATATGTTCTGTAAGAATATAGTTAAGCTAACCATGAAAAAAATGGACAACTGAAAGTCCTGACCATTTGACCTGGGTGAACAGTTGTTGGGCAGGACTTTCGTGATGTTTTCTTCTGTGGGATTTTGTGCTTACTACTGTAGAGTGCATGTGGCACAGGATACTCTTAACTGCTTTTGTCTGATGTAAACATTTAAAGTTTTATATTTTTATAAAAATGTTTATTTTTAATGATATGAGAGAACTTTTGTTAGGCCACAAAAATACTGCACTGTGAACATTGCAGAAAAGGTATGTCAGACTTGGATTAACTACGGCATGTTTTAAATGGCTGTAAACAGTGATAAGGAAATGTACTGACTGCCAGTACACCCCACCCTCATTACATCACCAGGACCTGAAGCCTTGGATTAATGCAGCAAGCTATAAAGAGGGTGTGTTTACAAGGGGACCCTTCCTAGCGTTCAACTCTTGTTGCTGGAGAGTGATTAAAACCAAAAGCTCTTTGATAATGGTATGACTTACCAGAAAACACCAAGAATTGGACTGCAGAGATATTTCCATCCAGATGTTCTGATTCAAATATTTCATGAGTGAAAAGCAATACTAATTCACAGAAGTGTAGAAATGGTGGATGACAAAACAAAAAGTCAGTTCTGTGGAAACGTCTCTACCAATGGCAAGATAATGAATGCATCAAGGATAGAAAGAGTATATGAAAACAGTCATCAACAATACTACTCATCTGTATATATGCTTGAGAAAGCTACCATGTGAAAGTCATGTTTGCTATTTATAAACATGTCCTTAGGTTAATGTCTCTGAACAGATTGTGGGAGTGATTCTTCCAAGAATTAAATACTTGTCACTGCCGATACCTGCAGTTGAGCTGAATGGTACTCTGTATGTTAATAGTTGTTGTTCTGATAAATCATGCAGTTAAAATAAAGTGATACATTATCTTGTAGATTGAGAGTTGGTTATAACTAGCCATGCATGATTTCTTCCTCCATTTACATAATAACAGAGGGAACCTAAGATTGATTTCACCAGGCTGTATTGAAATAATCCATAGATGAGATGCTTAGTCAAGTTAATGCAAGAGCAAGTGAAAAGATTTGCATCTCTGAATCTTAGGAATTCTGGCTTTCCAAAAGTGCTTTACTCTGAATTGCTGAATTACCTACCTTTCTTAGACAATCAATGGCTAGAGGAACTACCTGATTCACACAGAGATGCCTAACTGGGAGTTTTGAGTCCATCCTAACCCGTAAAAGCCCTCCCTCCCCTACCTTAAAACTGCCATTTCCAGATCAGGAAAAAAATAATAATAATAAAATAAATTTTTAAAATTAATAGGTCAACTATAAATCAGATATTCTGCAGGGGAGAGGGAGGGACGGGTCAAAAGAGGCAAGGGAAGAGCACAGAGGACTATGGCAATAGTACACGGATTAATTGGTGGTGGGAATTCTATGGGGACCACATCTGAGAGGAGAAACCAAACACTACAAAAATGAACAACGGGGCCCTCCCTGGTGGCTCAGGGATTAAAGCGCAATGCTGTAGGCAGCCACTGCAGCACCAGATGGATCCCCTACCAAGGAGTTGACCCACATGGTGCATGACAGCAGCAAACCTCTCCTGTCTCAGCCACTGCCCCTTTAGCAGTGTGTTCCAGTACACCTGCCTGTTCTGCTCCCTGCTCTGTCTCTGGTGAACTTTCTCACTGCGTGAACCTTCTCATTGCCACCCACTTCAGCCGGGTACCTCTGGCCTGCACCCCAGTTCTTGTACGCATAAATAAATAAGCCTTTTGAAAAACCAACAATGATTGTTTATATATATATATATATATATTATGTTGGATATAAAAAGATTTATAAATAAATAAATCTTTTTAAAAAAGAACAATGATTGTTTATATATATATTATGTTGGGTATATATAAACTATATTAAATATATATTAAATTAAAATTTTTTAAAGATTTATGTATGCATACAGAACTGGGGTACAAGCCAGAGGTACAGGGGCGGTGAGAGGATTCCTCAGGGATAGATTGGGGAGCAAAACAGGCAGGTCGTCAAAGTACACTGCTGAGGGGAGCAGCAGGCAGGTCAGGAGAGGTCTGCCACGCCACGTGGTCACCTCCGGAGCAGGTGGGGATCGAACTCATGTGGAAGTGGTTTTTAGCTTCTTAGTGCTGTGCTTTAACCCACTGTGCCAACAGGGAGGACCTATATTAAATTAAATTTAAAAATAAAACTGTCCTTTCCATCTACACAGATTCTTATCATATGGAAGCCCCCAGTGACTGGTGAAACTACCTTTGGGTTATCTCCATGAACAGTTTTATAATGTAAAGGAATTCCAAGGTGATATTTCAGTTATCTAAGAATTGTGAGGCACTTTGGGACAATCTGATTTAAAAAGGGGGACAAGTTAAAACTGGTACCTTCAAAATTCAGTAAAAGCTGATTTTTACTGAGAAAGAATTCAATCCTATATACAAAGTCCCTCCAAGAGATGTATTTCCACAGAAACTGAGATTACACTCCATGCCCCTGAAGTACAAGAAACTGGCACTTAGGAGATTCTCAAATAATTGCTGCACTAACCCAGCACTTTTTAGCCTCTATCACTTTGGACCACATAGCAGACACACTTATTGCCTGTTTAGCTCCCATATGTTTGGCAAATGCCCACCTGGGAGGTAGGGCTTCTTTATAGAGAGGGGAATAGAAGGACCCCCATTATGAGAAAATCCTTCACAAAAGTTTGCTTGATGCTCTGAATTTTTCAGTTCCCACAGGATTTTTCATTCACTATGTAGGGGTCAGTAATAGTTCTGCTCTCTGATATTTATTCTCTGCACATTTTGTCCTTAAAGAAATATGGACATGGGTATAAATTTCATGCAAAGGTACTAATTTGAGTGCTGGCGATTCAAGTCATTCAGTTACTCGATTTATTTTTTAAGGATTCATTTATGCATATAAGAACTGGGGTACAAGCCAGAATTGTGGGGGTAAGGGGGCCTGAGAGTATTCACCAGAGACAGATGGGTAGCACAATAAGGAGATATACTGAAATACACTGCTGAGGAGGGCAGCCGGGAGACATGTGGGTCACCCCCGGCTGGGGATCGAACTCAGGCTGCAGTGGCTGTGGACAGCTTAATAGTGCTGTGTTTTAACCTGTTGTGCCACCAGAGAGGTCCAGAGTTACTCAGTTTAATTTAGGAAACAAGTTAGCATTTATAAAAGAAATTTATAAAGTATTTCATTGAACAAATGCTTACTGAATATTTATGTGTGTCAGACAACATGCTAGGTAGTAAGAATATAAACATAAACAGTGCTTCTGACTCCAAGGAATGTAATGAAAGAATATTGAACTATGCATTTCTTTTTTTTTTTAAAGATTTATTTATTTATTCATACAGATCTGGGGTACAGGCCAGAGATGCGGAGGGTGAGAGGATTCACCAGAGACAGAGTGGAGAGCAGAACAGGCAGATCGACGATGTACACTGCTGAAGGGAGCAGCGGGCGGGCAGGAGAAGTCTGCCAACCAAGTGGATCACCTCCGGGGCAGGCAGGGATTGAACTCACGCAGAATTGGCTTAAGCTTCTCAGTGCAGTGCTTTAACCCGCTGCACCACCAGGGAGGGCCAGAACTATGCATTTCTTAAATATGTAGTCTGTCTTGACAAGAGATCATGGTTTAAACATTAAAAAATTTTACCTCTTCAGCAAACAGATCAGCTTTGATTTATCTAATTTCTTAAACAGTCAAATAGACTAATCTTACCTAGTCTATAACCTTTTTTGAAGACTAAAAAAACCATGTGTAAAGACACCCTGGTATGCCACACTCACTCAGTAATTGCAATATTAATTACTTCAGTCTTCAACAATGAAAGCTTAAGCAAGAGTTGTCTGTGGCTTATTGAAAGGGAGATTAAGCGCTAGGGACCTTATAGATGTTTAAATCTTTATCTTTAGCCTGTTTTTCAGTTCACATCTGCTCTATATAATTGGAACAGAGCTGTGACTCCCCTCATCCTGGCCTCTGATATGGCAGTGTGGGGGCAGGGGGTGAGTGAAGGGTGAAAGAGAGAGTGCTGGACAGCCAAAGAATACCTCCATCACTTCTTTCTTCACACTTTAATTCTTTTATTCAATGACTAGTTTCCTTTTTTTCTTGTTTAGCCTTGGTGTCTAGAGTACACAACAGACATGGGAAAAAACTAATTACTGGAAAGTTACAAGAACACACAATATCAGGAGTCATAGTCCTTAGTATTCATGTCTACAGAGTATTGTGCTTTATTTAGCTCAAATGAATAGTAAATTATTCTGCTTCAAGAAAAAGTAGACTATGTACAGTATTGTTTAAATTATATGATGTCTGTTTGGAAAATAAGGAATATGATTAATATTGTTATGCATCTGGGTCACTAGACACAAAATGCTAAGTAACAGGTCCATAGGATTCACTCTTGTGGCATATTAGGCCATTTCTGAAGATAGGTATGCAGGCATTAAGCCCCAAATGAATAAATGCATACTGCTTTCATTTCATGAAATGTTTTTCCTTTCATACTTGACATTTTTCTTCAGCATTATTTCAGTTCTCTATCAAAATTGAAAATCACTTCAGTCATAAACCAGTGAAACATTTCAGTTAGGAATTGAAGGTAATAAAACAGAACTCTTGCCCAAACTGTTCTTTGTTGTAAATTACACCAGAAATCTAGATTACGTCAGCCAAAGGTATTGATCATGAGGCTGAGAGGTTTATAACTACTATTGACTTACTATGTGACCCTGGAGCAGGAAATCTAGGAAAATTGCAAAAGCATATCTACAGTAATGAAAAGGCCATCATTAATAGGACTTACTATCCTGTCATGCAACTAGTATTGTGTTGGCCTCAAGTAAAATATTTAACAAATGCTAGAAACAGGAGGAGCTTCTTTCTTCTCATTTTTCCCATTGCCTGCTCTAAGCCATCCTGACAAATGTGTTTTCCTTCTTATCAAGAAAAAGTGTTGGTTTAAAAAAATCTGATG